CAGGGTTGCTAGGTGCCTGATGTAGTCATTGTTGTCATTGCTTGCTTGTTGAATTATTCTGTATTCTCAATCTTTGCTGGTGGAAACTCTTGCCAATTTCTCCCGTGAATGTGCAAGTGCTAAGGAACCAAGCAAAGCTACGATCACTCCTAGTAGTTCGTGCCAACCCCGTAGTCTAGCTCACTACCGTTGTAGAGTGACTCTCCACAACTTGCGACGCGAGATCTTCAACCTAAACAGGGGTTTTAACATTTTTCGCTGATCCGATGAGGAACATTAGCAAATGCATCTTGTGGAGGACAAAAAAACGGTTTGTTCTCCGTCAACATCCGCGATAGCAATTTTCAATGTGCATTTCTCGTATTACACAAGATGTCCGACAAAGGGATCGCTCGGCCGAGCCTTGACCTGGTGCATGCGCAGCCCAGTTAGTGACACGTCATCACATCGGCACATCATGCATAGCTTCCCCCCAAGTTATTGATGGCTCGGAGTGTGGGTGCCGAGCCATCAAAGATGGTACGCGCAAGCGATATTTCACGTCCAATAGAAGATGGCCACCGTGGGCGTTGTAACACCATCGCAACCATTGGCCGGCCACTCGTGATCCCGAACACATGTCGCGGAGGCAGTGCGATTTGAGCAATTAGCATGCAGTGCAGAGGTGCCGCATAACCTTGTTTGGCGCGGAATGTACACACGTCGCCACGACGTTGCTCGTTGATATTCGCGCGTTCGCCTCTTCCAATGGTTACTCGCCAAATGTTGTTAAACCCTGAACCCGTTGAGATGTATTCTCGGGGTTGTCTCAACGGATTTTGCATCCGTAGCTCCCGTCGCTCGCCCCTGCATGTCGAGCAGCAGTTTGCCACCCATTCCGTCGCTGTCCGTCGTTGGTCCCAAGGGGGATCAGGTGTTTCCCCTTCATCCCAACCTTCACGCGCCCTAAGTCATTTGCCCATACGTTACGAGTATGTTAGCCCGCGACTTGCGACGTTCTTCAAAACCGGATGGCTGGCAGATGCACTAGTCATGCGCGCGAAATTGGCAGCAGCGTTCTAGTATGTGAGCATCGCGAGTGAAAAAAAAACGAGGATTTTTTCAAGTCCTGCACGGAGTACGCACACGTACACGTAAAAGTACCCGTACTTTAAGATGTAAAGACTCAGCACGGTCACGTATGTGTGACGTGGCACGATCAGTGCGCCCTTACTCCGACGTGGCTCGCAGTAAGCGGTGGCGTACTGACGTGGACGAAGATGCGGAAGATGCTTGGCAAGTCGGACAAGGCCAAGCAAGCGGACGCAGCGAGAGGCAAGCCATCCTTACCAAATCATATTTTGAGTCGACTGAAAAGTTCGCAACTTGCTCACCGCTAACAATAGCCAAGTCGTCTCGCGACGCCTCACGACTTCGCGAATGTCTCCGGCGACTCGCGCGCCTTCCACACGCCCTCGTCGCCCGCAATCTGTCTGCTCGTTCCGCCATCTGTATGCCCGGCTTCTGTATTTCCTCCTCTTTGTGTTTCTTGCTCTCAAGCCTCTCTGCCTCCCACGCTGCTCCTCCCCCTCTTCCACCCAAAATCGCCTTGCACCCCCCTTAACACCTCTCTTCCCCTCAGCCGCCCCCATCCAGGGCGCGTGTGTGCGGTTTTCCCTGGCGGACATGCTAACCGCGACGAACCACTGGGCACCGCAGTTGCTGGTGGGCGAGGGCTACCGCGTGCTGTTCAAGGGCGTGGACCCGCGCGACGGCGTCACCCCGTGGCTCCTCAAGCGCTGCCGCACGCGCGAGTTTCAAGAGTTCCACGCGGAGGTGGGGGGGGAGGGGAAGTGCGGGGGAGGTGAGGGGGGGAGCGCGGGGGAGGTGAGGGGGGGAGCGCGGGGGAGGTGAGGGGGGAAGCGCGGGGGAGGTGAGGGGGGGAGCGCGGGGGAGGTGAGGGGGGAAGTGCGGGGGAGGTGAGGGCGAGGGGGAGGTGAGGAGGAAAGTGCGGGGGAAGGGGACGGAAGGGTGTGGTGTTGGAGAGCATTGAGAGGAGGGGTGATGGGGAGGAGAGGGGGGAGGTGCAGAGGAGGGGTGATGGGGAGGAGAGGGGGGAGATGCAAGAGGCAGAGATGAAAGGAGGAGAGGGAAGGAAAGTGAGGCGGGGCTGCGGTTCTGCACCCTCTTCAAGTGGGCTGTTTGGAAGATGAACTATTGGATTTTGCTGGTTCAACCACAGACCCCACACCACACGCTTACACCTCTTGCATGGAGAACAGCTCTGCATCGTTGTTTCGTCCCCCAGTGGCATTCCGTCCGCTCCGCCTCATACGCCATACTGCCACAATACTAACCCAGCCTGTGGACGGTTGGTGGTAGACCTGCTGCGCCCCATCCTTCTCCTAATAGCAGCATACAAGTAAGTTGCCGTGGAGCCATTGAAGGCGAAGGAGGAAAGAACAGGTGCCTCTTCCAGAGGAAAGAAGAGCACTGCTCGTCTAACCCTCTCCCTCCCCTCCCACCCGCTCCCCAACCCCTGCCTTGCCTCACCCGCTCCCTTCTCCCTGCCTTGCCTGCCCCCAGGTGGCGGAGATGGGCAACAAGAACCACCCCAACCTGGTGCGCCTGCTGGGGTACTGCGATGAGCGCGACCGGCAGGGGCGGTGGGAGCAGGTGGTGGTGTATGAGTTCATGACAGCTGGCAGACTTCTCGACAAGTTTGAACCACATGGTGAGGCATGCCGTGCCGTGCCATGCCATACCACACACCTTTTTTTCTCTCTCTCTTTTTTTACGGAGCCCATGTCGCCGCAAGTGTGGCACCCATGCCAGTCAACTCCAAACATGTAGATGATGGCTGCCTGTTTTTCCTCGCCCTTGTCCTCGTGACGCCATGTACTTGGCATGGGTGCTGCACCCATATGTAGATACAGCCCGTTTCCTCGTATACTCGGTGCCTTTGGCTCTGCTAGGCTAAGTTGGAATATACGCGTTCCGCGTTTTATATGCAAGCTTATATTCGCTAGCGTGTAAACGCCTTACGCTGCGTGGAAGGGTCCAGTACGCACAGAATACGCAGTCCCGGGAAGATAACAAATTTCCCGGGCAGTTCGTTAGGTTTAGAAGCGGGAATGGGGCAGTTCATTAGGTTAAGAAGCGGGAAAGCACCAAGTTGGTGCCCACAGTCTAGTCATACTCGTCGATAGATCAAGGTAAAAAAATCCGCAGGATGAACATCGAATGGAGAAATGAGCCGCATTTCTGCTAAGAGAGGTGAGTCTTTCTGACCCCATGTCGCCTGGCCGCAAGTGCAATACCCATGCCAACTCCAAACAAGTGACCCATGGGTGCTTGCCCGTTCTTCCTCGCCCTTGTCCTCGCCTCGTGTACTAGCCCTTGTGTGCATTTGGCTCTGCTACATCTGCTTGCCTAGCATCCGTCCATCCATCGCACGCATTTTATTCTATTACGTTGGCCCATCACTTCAATCTACCTCACAGCGTATTCTTTCTCTTCTCTTCTCCTCGCAGGTATCACCGGCGTGCCTTTGACCCTGCAGCAGCGCCTGGACATTCTGATAGGAGTGGCTCACGGGCTGGAGTATCTGCACAGCTTTGGCATCGTGCATCGCTGTCTTTGCCTTCGAAGCATTTTTCTGGATGCCAGCATGCAGGTGAGTGAGTGTGCTTGCTGTGCGGGCACCATCCTCCACACGACACGACTCGCAAACACGCTGCCATATAGTGTGGAGCAACATCCATATAGAATTGGGTTACCCTACCCTGTTATACTGATGTTGTTAAAAGCGTTCCTCCCTGCCACCCTCCTCCTGTCTGGCCACACGACATGTGGGCACCTCTCGCCGCACGTCACTGCACCACACTTCCAATCACAACGCCACGCCAGGCAAAGATCGCAGGGTTTGACTCTGTGACGCGCAGGGCAGCAGCAGCGGGTGTCGAGTTCTCGGTGGTGGGCGTGCCTGGGTACGTGGACCCACACCTGCTGCTCTCCGAAGAGCACACACCCACTAATGACCTCTACAGGTGCCCATCTCTTCTCCCTAATCCTCCAATTCCCCTCATTTCGCCCATTTCCCTCAATCCGCCAGAATTAGGAACGGTAGATAGAAGTACGCCCAGGCGGGCAGGTGAAGAATGTTTTTGGGGCAGGGAGAATAGAATTCGGGGTGCTAGACGACACAGCAGAGCCATGGTGCCATTGTGTGGGGTTGCATTGCACTAGGCGTTGACCAAGGAAATTCAGACATACGAGCCACTAACATCAACTACCTAGCCTGGAGGAGTTTGGGGGTTGAGGAAGTTAGATTAGCATGCGGATTAGGTCTGGTGTGGTTGTGTCTGGGTAGATGTGAGAAGTGAGAGCGAGTTGGTGCTGCGAGTTGGAGCGAGTTGGTTCTGCAGTTTTGTATTTGGGGCCTGGTTTGAGAGGTGCCGTTGTTATGGCCCGTTTTGTGTGGGTTCTTTGGTTGGGGGAAATGAGCAAATTAAAGCGTATTTTGCAACCAAGCCACCCATCCCCCCCAATCCGTACATTCCACTCCTACTGCCTCTCCTGCACAATGTTACAGTCCCAGGCCACTGAAGCACTGCCTCCCACAGCATCATGCCTCCCACAGCACTGCCTCCCACAGCTCACCATCTGGTCACCATCTTCTTTTAAAGAATTTATAAAGAAATAAGTGCACGCACGTGGAGGCTCGTTTGTTGCTCCAGTGCCATGCTCCGCTCTCAACTCTCTGTACTGCTCTACGCTCGTTCCTTCTCCTTCCCCCCCATTGCCCTTGCGTAACACTCCCCTCCTCCCTCTTCTTCCTGCGCATCCCTCCCTTGGCCCGCCGCCACCAGTCTGGGAGTGGTGCTGCTGCAGTTGCTGTCAGGCCGCATTTCCCTCGCGTTAGAGAAGACCATGCCACAGTCTTTCCGAGACAATGTGAGTGCAAGTGGGGCATTAGGGGAAGGGCCAGTGATGCGTGCGACTGATGCATTCTGACAGGCATGCCAGCAACTCAACGCACTACCTCCATCGCTGGCACTACCTCCATCGCTGGCACTACCTCCATCGCTGGCACTACCTCCATCGCTGGCACTACCTCCATCGCTGGCACTACCTCCATCGCTGGCACTACCTCCATCGCTGGCACTACCTCCATCGCTGGCACTACCTCCATCGCTGGCACTACCTCCATCGCTGGCACTACCTCCATCGCTGGCACTACCTCCATCGCTGGCACTACCTCCATCGCTGGCACTACCTCCATCGCTGGCACTACCTCCATCGCTGGCACTACCTCCATCGCTGGCACTACCTCCATCGCTGGCACTACCTCCATCGCTGGCACTACCTCCATCGCTGGCACTACCTCCATCGCTGGCACTACCTCCATCGCTGGCACTACCTCCATCGCTGGCACTACCTCCATCGCTGGCACTACCTCCATCGCTGGCACTACCTCCATCGCTGGCACTACCTCCATCGCTGGCACTACCTCCATCGCTGGCACTACCTCCATCGCTGGCACTACCTCCATCGCTGGCACTACCTCCATCGCTGGCACTACCTCCATCGCTGGCACTACCTCCATCGCTGGCACTACCTCCATCGCTGGCACTACCTCCATCGCTGGCACTACCTCCATCGCTGGCACTACCTCCATCGCTGGCACTACCTCCATCGCTGGCACTACCTCCATCGCTGGCACTACCTCCATCGCTGGCACTACCTCCATCGCTGGCACTACCTCCATCGCTGGCACTACCTCCATCGCTGGCACTACCTCCATCGCTGGCACTACCTCCATCGCTGGCACTACCTCCATCGCTGGCACTACCTCCATCGCTGGCACTACCTCCATCGCTGGCACTACCTCCATCGCTGGCACTACCTCCATCGCTGGCACTACCTCCATCGCTGGCACTACCTCCATCGCTGGCACTACCTCCATCGCTGGCACTACCTCCATCGCTGGCACTACCTCCATCGCTGGCACTACCTCCATCGCTGGCACTACCTCCATCGCTGGCACTACCTCCATCGCTGGCACTACCTCCATCGCTGGCACTACCTCCATCGCTGGCACTACCTCCATCGCTGGCACTACCTCCATCGCTGGCACTACCTCCATCGCTGGCACTACCTCCATCGCTGGCACTACCTCCATCGCTGGCACTACCTCCATCGCTGGCACTACCTCCATCGCTGGCACTACCTCCATCGCTGGCACTACCTCCATCGCTGGCACTCCCTCCATCGCTGGCACTACCTCCATCGCTGGCACTACCTCCATCGCTGGCACTACCTCCATCGCTGGCACTACCTCCATCGCTGGCACTACCTCCATCGCTGGCACTACCTCCATCGCTGGCACTACCTCCATCGCTGGCACTACCTCCATCGCTGGCACTACCTCCATCGCTGGCACTACCTCCATCGCTGGCACTACCTCCATCGCTGGCACTACCTCCATCGCTGGCACTACCTCCATCGCTGGCACTACCTCCATCGCTGGCACTACCTCCATCGCTGGCACTACCTCCATCGCTGGCACTACCTCCATCGCTGGCACTACCTCCATCGCTGGCACTACCTCCATCGCTGGCACTACCTCCATCGCTGGCACTACCTCCATCGCTGGCACTACCTCCATCGCTGGCACTACCTCCATCGCTGGCACTACCTCCATCGCTGGCACTACCTCCATCGCTGGCACTACCTCCATCGCTGGCACTACCTCCATCGCTGGCACTACCTCCATCGCTGGCACTACCTCCATCGCTGGCACTACCTCCATCGCTGGCACTACCTCCATCGCTGGCACTACCTCCATCGCTGGCACTACCTCCATCGCTGGCACTACCTCCATCGCTGGCACTACCTCCATCGCTGGCACTCCCTCCATCGCTGGCACTACCTCCATCGCTGGCACTACCTCCATCGCTGGCACTACCTCCATCGCTGGCACTACCTCCATCGCTGGCACTACCTCCATCGCTGGCACTACCTCCATCGCTGGCACTACCTCCATCGCTGGCACTACCTCCATCGCTGGCACTACCTCCATCGCTGGCACTACCTCCATCGCTGGCACTACCTCCATCGCTGGCACTACCTCCATCGCTGGCACTACCTCCATCGCTGGCACTACCTCCATCGCTGGCACTACCTCCATCGCTGGCACTACCTCCATCGCTGGCACTACCTCCATCGCTGGCACTACCTCCATCGCTGGCACTACCTCCATCGCTGGCACTACCTCCATCGCTGGCACTACCTCCATCGCTGGCACTACCTCCATCGCTGGCACTACCTCCATCGCTGGCACTACCTCCATCGCTGGCACTACCTCCATCGCTGGCACTACCTCCATCGCTGGCACTACCTCCATCGCTGGCACTACCTCCATCGCTGGCACTACCTCCATCGCTGGCACTACCTCCATCGCTGGCACTACCTCCATCGCTGGCACTACCTCCATCGCTGGCACTACCTCCATCGCTGGCACTACCTCCATCGCTGGCACTACCTCCATCGCTGGCACTACCTCCATCGCTGGCACTACCTCCATCGCTGGCACTCCCTCCATCGCTGGCACTCCCTCCATCGCTGGCACTACCTCCATCGCTGGCACTACCTCCATCGCTGGCACTACCTCCATCGCTGGCACTACCTCCATCGCTGGCACTACCTCCATCGCTGGCACTACCTCCATCGCTGGCACTACCTCCATCGCTGGCACTACCTCCATCGCTGGCACTACCTCCATCGCTGGCACTACCTCCATCGCTGGCACTACCTCCATCGCTGGCACTACCTCCATCGCTGGCACTACCTCCATCGCTGGCACTACCTCCATCGCTGGCACTACCTCCATCGCTGGCACTACCTCCATCGCTGGCACTACCTCCATCGCTGGCACTACCTCCATCGCTGGCACTACCTCCATCGCTGGCACTACCTCCATCGCTGGCACTACCTCCATCGCTGGCACTCCCTCCATCGCTGGCACTACCTCCATCGCTGGCACTACCTCCATCGCTGGCACTACCTCCATCGCTGGCACTACCTCCATCGCTGGCACTACCTCCATCGCTGGCACTACCTCCATCGCTGGCACTACCTCCATCGCTGGCACTACCTCCATCGCTGGCACTACCTCCATCGCTGGCACTACCTCCATCGCTGGCACTACCTCCATCGCTGGCACTACCTCCATCGCTGGCACTACCTCCATCGCTGGCACTACCTCCATCGCTGGCACTACCTCCATCGCTGGCACTACCTCCATCGCTGGCACTACCTCCATCGCTGGCACTACCTCCATCGCTGGCACTACCTCCATCGCTGGCACTACCTCCATCGCTGGCACTACCTCCATCGCTGGCACTACCTCCATCGCTGGCACTACCTCCATCGCTGGCACTACCTCCATCGCTGGCACTACCTCCATCGCTGGCACTACCTCCATCGCTGGCACTACCTCCATCGCTGGCACTACCTCCATCGCTGGCACTACCTCCATCGCTGGCACTACCTCCATCGCTGGCACTACCTCCATCGCTGGCACTACCTCCATCGCTGGCACTACCTCCATCGCTGGCACTACCTCCATCGCTGGCACTACCTCCATCGCTGGCACTACCTCCATCGCTGGCACTACCTCCATCGCTGGCACTACCTCCATCGCTGGCACTACCTCCATCGCTGGCACTACCTCCATCGCTGGCACTACCTCCATCGCTGGCACTACCTCCATCGCTGGCACTACCTCCATCGCTGGCACTACCTCCATCGCTGGCACTACCTCCATCGCTGGCACTACCTCCATCGCTGGCACTACCTCCATCGCTGGCACTACCTCCATCGCTGGCACTACCTCCATCGCTGGCACTACCTCCATCGCTGGCACTACCTCCATCGCTGGCACTACCTCCATCGCTGGCACTACCTCCATCGCTGGCACTACCTCCATCGCTGGCACTACCTCCATCGCTGGCACTACCTCCATCGCTGGCACTACCTCCATCGCTGGCACTACCTCCATCGCTGGCACTACCTCCATCGCTGGCACTACCTCCATCGCTGGCACTACCTCCATCGCTGGCACTACCTCCATCGCTGGCACTACCTCCATCGCTGGCACTACCTCCATCGCTGGCACTACCTCCATCGCTGGCACTACCTCCATCGCTGGCACTACCTCCATCGCTGGCACTACCTCCATCGCTGGCACTACCTCCATCGCTGGCACTACCTCCATCGCTGGCACTACCTCCATCGCTGGCACTACCTCCATCGCTGGCACTACCTCCATCGCTGGCACTACCTCCATCGCTGGCACTACCTCCATCGCTGGCACTACCTCCATCGCTGGCACTACCTCCATCGCTGGCACTACCTCCATCGCTGGCACTACCTCCATCGCTGGCACTACCTCCATCGCTGGCACTACCTCCATCGCTGGCACTACCTCCATCGCTGGCACTACCTCCATCGCTGGCACTACCTCCATCGCTGGCACTACCTCCATCGCTGGCACTACCTCCATCGCTGGCACTACCTCCATCGCTGGCACTACCTCCATCGCTGGCACTACCTCCATCGCTGGCACTACCTCCATCGCTGGCACTACCTCCATCGCTGGCACTACCTCCATCGCTGGCACTACCTCCATCGCTGGCACTACCTCCATCGCTGGCACTACCTCCATCGCTGGCACTACCTCCATCGCTGGCACTACCTCCATCGCTGGCACTACCTCCATCGCTGGCACTACCTCCATCGCTGGCACTACCTCCATCGCTGGCACTACCTCCATCGCTGGCACTACCTCCATCGCTGGCACTACCTCCATCGCTGGCACTACCTCCATCGCTGGCACTACCTCCATCGCTGGCACTACCTCCATCGCTGGCACTACCTCCATCGCTGGCACTACCTCCATCGCTGGCACTACCTCCATCGCTGGCACTACCTCCATCGCTGGCACTACCTCCATCGCTGGCACTACCTCCATCGCTGGCACTACCTCCATCGCTGGCACTACCTCCATCGCTGGCACTACCTCCATCGCTGGCACTACCTCCATCGCTGGCACTACCTCCATCGCTGGCACTACCTCCATCGCTGGCACTACCTCCATCGCTGGCACTACCTCCATCGCTGGCACTACCTCCATCGCTGGCACTACCTCCATCGCTGGCACTACCTCCATCGCTGGCACTACCTCCATCGCTGGCACTACCTCCATCGCTGGCACTACCTCCATCGCTGGCACTACCTCCATCGCTGGCACTACCTCCATCGCTGGCACTACCTCCATCGCTGGCACTACCTCCATCGCTGGCACTACCTCCATCGCTGGCACTACCTCCATCGCTGGCACTACCTCCATCGCTGGCACTACCTCCATCGCTGGCACTACCTCCATCGCTGGCACTACCTCCATCGCTGGCACTACCTCCATCGCTGGCACTACCTCCATCGCTGGCACTACCTCCATCGCTGGCACTACCTCCATCGCTGGCACTACCTCCATCGCTGGCACTACCTCCATCGCTGGCACTACCTCCATCGCTGGCACTACCTCCATCGCTGGCACTACCTCCATCGCTGGCACTACCTCCATCGCTGGCACTACCTCCATCGCTGGCACTACCTCCATCGCTGGCACTACCTCCATCGCTGGCACTACCTCCATCGCTGGCACTACCTCCATCGCTGGCACTACCTCCATCGCTGGCACTACCTCCATCGCTGGCACTACCTCCATCGCTGGCACTACCTCCATCGCTGGCACTACCTCCATCGCTGGCACTACCTCCATCGCTGGCACTACCTCCATCGCTGGCACTACCTCCATCGCTGGCACTACCTCCATCGCTGGCACTACCTCCATCGCTGGCACTACCTCCATCGCTGGCACTACCTCCATCGCTGGCACTACCTCCATCGCTGGCACTACCTCCATCGCTGGCACTACCTCCATCGCTGGCACTACCTCCATCGCTGGCACTACCTCCATCGCTGGCACTACCTCCATCGCTGGCACTACCTCCATCGCTGGCACTACCTCCATCGCTGGCACTACCTCCATCGCTGGCACTACCTCCATCGCTGGCACTACCTCCATCGCTGGCACTACCTCCATCGCTGGCACTACCTCCATCGCTGGCACTACCTCCATCGCTGGCACTACCTCCATCGCTGGCACTACCTCCATCGCTGGCACTACCTCCATCGCTGGCACTACCTCCATCGCTGGCACTACCTCCATCGCTGGCACTACCTCCATCGCTGGCACTACCTCCATCGCTGGCACTCCCTCCATCGCTGGCACTACCTCCATCGCTGGCACTACCTCCATCGCTGGCACTACCTCCATCGCTGGCACTACCTCCATCGCTGGCACTACCTCCATCGCTGGCACTACCTCCATCGCTGGCACTACCTCCATCGCTGGCACTACCTCCATCGCTGGCACTACCTCCATCGCTGGCACTACCTCCATCGCTGGCACTACCTCCATCGCTGGCACTACCTCCATCGCTGGCACTACCTCCATCGCTGGCACTACCTCCATCGCTGGCACTACCTCCATCGCTGGCACTACCTCCATCGCTGGCACTACCTCCATCGCTGGCACTACCTCCATCGCTGGCACTACCTCCATCGCTGGCACTACCTCCATCGCTGGCACTACCTCCATCGCTGGCACTACCTCCATCGCTGGCACTACCTCCATCGCTGGCACTACCTCCATCGCTGGCACTACCTCCATCGCTGGCACTACCTCCATCGCTGGCACTACCTCCATCGCTGGCACTACCTCCATCGCTGGCACTCCCTCCATCGCTGGCACTACCTCCATCGCTGGCACTCCCTCCATCGCTGGCACTACCTCCATCGCTGGCACTACCTCCATCGCTGGCACTACCTCCATCGCTGGCACTACCTCCATCGCTGGCACTACCTCCATCGCTGGCACTACCTCCATCGCTGGCACTACCTCCATCGCTGGCACTACCTCCATCGCTGGCACTACCTCCATCGCTGGCACTACCTCCATCGCTGGCACTACCTCCATCGCTGGCACTACCTCCATCGCTGGCACTACCTCCATCGCTGGCACTACCTCCATCGCTGGCACTACCTCCATCGCTGGCACTACCTCCATCGCTGGCACTACCTCCATCGCTGGCACTACCTCCATCGCTGGCACTACCTCCATCGCTGGCACTACCTCCATCGCTGGCACTACCTCCATCGCTGGCACTACCTCCATCGCTGGCACTACCTCCATCGCTGGCACTACCTCCATCGCTGGCACTACCTCCATCGCTGGCACTACCTCCATCGCTGGCACTACCTCCATCGCTGGCACTACCTCCATCGCTGGCACTACCTCCATCGCTGGCACTACCTCCATCGCTGGCACTACCTCCATCGCTGGCACTACCTCCATCGCTGGCACTACCTCCATCGCTGGCACTACCTCCATCGCTGGCACTACCTCCATCGCTGGCACTACCTCCATCGCTGGCACTACCTCCATCGCTGGCACTCCCTCCATCGCTGGCACTCCCTCCATCGCTGGCACTACCTCCATCGCTGGCACTACCTCCATCGCTGGCACTACCTCCATCGCTGGCACTACCTCCATCGCTGGCACTACCTCCATCGCTGGCACTACCTCCATCGCTGGCACTACCTCCATCGCTGGCACTACCTCCATCGCTGGCACTACCTCCATCGCTGGCACTACCTCCATCGCTGGCACTACCTCCATCGCTGGCACTACCTCCATCGCTGGCACTACCTCCATCGCTGGCACTACCTCCATCGCTGGCACTACCTCCATCGCTGGCACTACCTCCATCGCTGGCACTACCTCCATCGCTGGCACTACCTCCATCGCTGGCACTACCTCCATCGCTGGCACTACCTCCATCGCTGGCACTACCTCCATCGCTGGCACTACCTCCATCGCTGGCACTACCTCCATCGCTGGCACTACCTCCATCGCTGGCACTACCTCCATCGCTGGCACTACCTCCATCGCTGGCACTACCTCCATCGCTGGCACTACCTCCATCGCTGGCACTACCTCCATCGCTGGCACTACCTCCATCGCTGGCACTACCTCCATCGCTGGCACTACCTCCATCGCTGGCACTCCCTCCATCGCTGGCACTACCTCCATCGCTGGCACTACCTCCATCGCTGGCACTACCTCCATCGCTGGCACTACCTCCATCGCTGGCACTACCTCCATCGCTGGCACTACCTCCATCGCTGGCACTACCTCCATCGCTGGCACTACCTCCATCGCTGGCACTACCTCCATCGCTGGCACTACCTCCATCGCTGGCACTACCTCCATCGCTGGCACTACCTCCATCGCTGGCACTACCTCCATCGCTGGCACTACCTCCATCGCTGGCACTACCTCCATCGCTGGCACTACCTCCATCGCTGGCACTACCTCCATCGCTGGCACTACCTCCATCGCTGGCACTACCTCCATCGCTGGCACTACCTCCATCGCTGGCACTACCTCCATCGCTGGCACTACCTCCATCGCTGGCACTACCTCCATCGCTGGCACTACCTCCATCGCTGGCACTACCTCCATCGCTGGCACTACCTCCATCGCTGGCACTACCTCCATCGCTGGCACTACCTCCATCGCTGGCACTACCTCCATCGCTGGCACTACCTCCATCGCTGGCACTACCTCCATCGCTGGCACTACCTCCATCGCTGGCACTACCTCCATCGCTGGCACTCCCTCCATCGCTGGCACTACCTCCATCGCTGGCACTACCTCCATCGCTGGCACTACCTCCATCGCTGGCACTACCTCCATCGCTGGCACTACCTCCATCGCTGGCACTACCTCCATCGCTGGCACTACCTCCATCGCTGGCACTACCTCCATCGCTGGCACTCCCTCCATCGCTGGCACTCCCTCCATCGCTGGCACTACCTCCATCGCTGGCACTCCCTCCATCGCTGGCACTACCTCCATCGCTGGCACTACCTCCATCGCTGGCACTACCTCCATCGCTGGCACTACCTCCATCGCTGGCACTACCTCCATCGCTGGCACTACCTCCATCGCTGGCACTACCTCCATCGCTGGCACTACCTCCATCGCTGGCACTACCTCCATCGCTGGCACTACCTCCATCGCTGGCACTACCTCCATCGCTGGCACTACCTCCATCGCTGGCACTACCTCCATCGCTGGCACTCCCTCCATCGCTGGCACTACCTCCATCGCTGGCACTACCTCCATCGCTGGCACTACCTCCATCGCTGGCACTACCTCCATCGCTGGCACTACCTCCATCGCTGGCACTACCTCCATCGCTGGCACTACCTCCATCGCTGGCACTACCTCCATCGCTGGCACTACCTCCATCGCTGGCACTACCTCCATCGCTGGCACTACCTCCATCGCTGGCACTACCTCCATCGCTGGCACTACCTCCATCGCTGGCACTACCTCCATCGCTGGCACTACCTCCATCGCTGGCACTACCTCCATCGCTGGCACTACCTCCATCGCTGGCACTACCTCCATCGCTGGCACTACCTCCATCGCTGGCACTACCTCCATCGCTGGCACTACCTCCATCGCTGGCACTACCTCCATCGCTGGCACTACCTCCATCGCTGGCACTACCTCCATCGCTGGCACTACCTCCATCGCTGGCACTACCTCCATCGCTGGCACTACCTCCATCGCTGGCACTACCTCCATCGCTGGCACTACCTCCATCGCTGGCACTACCTCCATCGCTGGCACTACCTCCATCGCTGGCACTACCTCCATCGCTGGCACTACCTCCATCGCTGGCACTACCTCCATCGCTGGCACTACCTCCATCGCTGGCACTACCTCCATCGCTGGCACTACCTCCATCGCTGGCACTACCTCCATCGCTGGCACTACCTCCATCGCTGGCACTACCTCCATCGCTGGCACTACCTCCATCGCTGGCACTACCTCCATCGCTGGCACTACCTCCATCGCTGGCACTACCTCCATCGCTGGCACTACCTCCATCGCTGGCACTACCTCCATCGCTGGCACTACCTCCATCGCTGGCACTACCTCCATCGCTGGCACTACCTCCATCGCTGGCACTACCTCCATCGCTGGCACTACCTCCATCGCTGGCACTACCTCCATCGCTGGCACTACCTCCATCGCTGGCACTACCTCCATCGCTGGCACTACCTCCATCGCTGGCACTACCTCCATCGCTGGCACTACCTCCATCGCTGGCACTACCTCCATCGCTGGCACTACCTCCATCGCTGGCACTACCTCCATCGCTGGCACTACCTCCATCGCTGGCACTACCTCCATCGCTGGCACTACCTCCATCGCTGGCACTACCTCCATCGCTGGCACTACCTCCATCGCTGGCACTACCTCCATCGCTGGCACTACCTCCATCGCTGGCACTACCTCCATCGCTGGCACTACCTCCATCGCTGGCACTACCTCCATCGCTGGCACTACCTCCATCGCTGGCACTACCTCCATCGCTGGCACTACCTCCATCGCTGGCACTACCTCCATCGCTGGCACTACCTCCATCGCTGGCACTACCTCCATCGCTGGCACTACCTCCATCGCTGGCACTCCCTCCATCGCTGGCACTCCCTCCATCGCTGGCACTACCTCCATCGCTGGCACTCCCTCCATCGCTGGCACTCCCTCCATCGCTGGCACTACCTCCATCGCTGGCACTACCTCCATCGCTGGCACTACCTCCATCGCTGGCACTACCTCCATCGCTGGCACTACCTCCATCGCTGGCACTACCTCCATCGCTGGCACTACCTCCATCGCTGGCACTACCTCCATCGCTGGCACTACCTCCATCGCTGGCACTACCTCCATCGCTGGCACTACCTCCATCGCTGGCACTACCTCCATCGCTGGCACTACCTCCATCGCTGGCACTACCTCCATCGCTGGCACTACCTCCATCGCTGGCACTACCTCCATCGCTGGCACTACCTCCATCGCTGGCACTACCTCCATCGCTGGCACTACCTCCATCGCTGCGGCGGCGGCGGTGGTGGGGGAGGAGGCAGCGGCAGTGGCGGTGGAGGTGGGAGTGGGGGTGGATCTGGCCAGAAGGGTGGCCAGCAGCAGCAGCAGCCACAGCAGCAGCAGCAGCTTCCTCCCCTCACCTCCCAGCAGCTCAATGACTGGTATGCTGGGCGTGGGGCGTCTCGGGGTTCTGACCGCTGCCCCTATGTCATTCGTACTGGCCCCCGCAAGGGTCGCCCCTGCAACGGTTTTCACACTGAGTATCGTTGTTTTGCCAGGCTTAGTGACGCCTGGCGTGCCAAGTATCCTGATGCTACTGAGTTCCCCAACTGGGCCGAGCTGCTTAGGCGTGATGTGCCTATCTTTGATCTGGACTATGATGTTATTCTTGCTGCTATGTATGCATTGACTGTTAGTGCTGAGGGTGACTGCTACTTGTGTGTGCCGCCTGATCCTGGTATTGACCCCGGTATAAGGGCTGCAGCCCTAGGTGCTAGTGAGTCTGCTCCCCGTGGTACTGAGTCGACTCAGGCCTTGCACACGTTTACACTTGACTCTGGTGCTTCCCGCTGTTTCTTTCGCGATAGCACCACCGTCACTCCCCTCCCTGCACCTGTCCCTGTCTCACTGGCTGACCCCTCTGGGGGCCCAGTGCTTGCACGAGCCACGACTGTGCTCTCGTGCCCGGCGGTCCCGTCTGGTGAGCTGTCAGGTCTCCACGTTCCCTCGTTCTCTACGAACCTGGTGAGCAACGCCGTCCTCCAGGATCACTGGGATCGCTGGCACTCCCTCCATCGCTGGCACTCCCTCCATCGCTGGCACTCCCTCCATCGCTGGCACTCCCTCCATCGCTGGCACTACCTCCATCGCTGGCACTACCTCCATCGCTGGCACTACCTCCATCGCTGGCACTCCCTCCATCGCTGGCACTCCCTCCATCGCTGGCACTCCCTCCATCGCTGGCACTACCTCCATCGCTGGCACTCCCTCCATCGCTGGCACTACCTCCATCGCTGGCACTCCCTCCATCGCTGGCACTCCCTCCATCGCTGGCACTCCCTCCATCGCTGGCACTCCCTCCATCGCTGGCACTCCCTCCATCGCTGGCACTCCCTCCATCGCTGGCACTCCCTCCATCGCTGGCACTCCCTCCATCGCTGGCACTCCCTCCATCGCTGGCACTCCCTCCATCGCTGGCACTCCCTCCATCGCTGGCACTCCCTCCATCGCTGGCACTCCCTCCATCGCTGGCACTCCCTCCATCGCTGGCACTCCCTCCATCGCTGGCACTCCCTCCATCGCTGGCACTCCCTCCATCGCTGGCACTCCCTCCATCGCTGGCACTCCCTCCATCGCTGGCACTCCCTCCATCGCTGGCACTCCCTCCATCGCTGGCACTCCCTCCATCGCTGGCACTCCCTCCATCGCTGGCACTCCCTCCATCGCTGGCACTCCCTCCATCGCTGGCACTCCCTCCATCGCTGGCACTCCCTCCATCGCTGGCACTCCCTCCATCGCTGGCACTCCCTCCATCGCTGGCACTCCCTCCATCGCTGGCACTCCCTCCATCGCTGGCACTCCCTCCATCGCTGGCACTCCCTCCATCGCTGGCACTCCCTCCATCGCTGGCACTCCCTCCATCGCTGGCACTCCCTCCATCGCTGGCACTCCCTCCATCGCTGGCACTCCCTCCATCGCTGGCACTCCCTCCATCGCTGGCACTCCCTCCATCGCTGGCACTCCCTCCATCGCTGGCACTCCCTCCATCGCTGGCACTCCCTCCATCGCTGGCACTCCCTCCATCGCTGGCACTCCCTCCATCGCTGGCACTCCCTCCATCGCTGGCACTCCCTCCATCGCTGGCACTCCCTCCATCGCTGGCACTCCCTCCATCGCTGGCACTCCCTCCATCGCTGGCACTCCCTCCATCGCTGGCACTCCCTCCATCGCTGGCACTCCCTCCATCGCTGGCACTCCCTCCATCGCTGGCACTCCCTCCATCGCTGGCACTCCCTCCATCGCTGGCACTCCCTCCATCGCTGGCACTCCCTCCATCGCTGGCACTCCCTCCATCGCTGGCACTCCCTCCATCGCTGGCACTCCCTCCATCGCTGGCACTCCCTCCATCGCTGGCACTCCCTCCATCGCTGGCACTCCCTCCATCGCTGGCACTCCCTCCATCGCTGGCACTCCCTCCATCGCTGGCACTCCCTCCATCGCTGGCACTCCCTCCATCGCTGGCACTCCCTCCATCGCTGGCACTCCCTCCATCGCTGGCACTCCCTCCATCGCTGGCACTCCCTCCATCGCTGGCACTCCCTCCATCGCTGGCACTCCCTCCATCGCTGGCACTCCCTCCATCGCTGGCACTCCCTCCATCGCTGGCACTCCCTCCATCGCTGGCACTCCCTCCATCGCTGGCACTCCCTCCATCGCTGGCACTCCCTCCATCGCTGGCACTCCCTCCATCGCTGGCACTCCCTCCATCGCTGGCACTCCCTCCATCGCTGGCACTCCCTCCATCGCTGGCACTCCCTCCATCGCTGGCACTCCCTCCATCGCTGGCACTCCCTCCATCGCTGGCACTCCCTCCATCGCTGGCACTCCCTCCATCGCTGGCACTCCCTCCATCGCTGGCACTCCCTCCATCGCTGGCACTCCCTCCATCGCTGGCACTCCCTCCATCGCTGGCACTCCCTCCATCGCTGGCACTCCCTCCATCGCTGGCACTCCCTCCATCGCTGGCACTCCCTCCATCGCTGGCACTCCCTCCATCGCTGGCACTCCCTCCATCGCTGGCACTCCCTCCATCGCTGGCACTCCCTCCATCGCTGGCACTCCCTCCATCGCTGGCACTCCCTCCATCGCTGGCACTCCCTCCATCGCTGGCACTCCCTCCATCGCTGGCACTCCCTCCATCGCTGGCACTCCCTCCATCGCTGGCACTCCCTCCATCGCTGGCACTCCCTCCATCGCTGGCACTCCCTCCATCGCTGGCACTCCCTCCATCGCTGGCACTCCCTCCATCGCTGGCACTCCCTCCATCGCTGGCACTCCCTCCATCGCTGGCACTCCCTCCATCGCTGGCACTCCCTCCATCGCTGGCACTCCCTCCATCGCTGGCACTCCCTCCATCGCTGGCACTCCCTCCATCGCTGGCACTCCCTCCATCGCTGGCACTCCCTCCATCGCTGGCACTCCTCCATCGCTAGCACTCCCTCCATCGCTGGCACTACCTCCATCGCTGGCACTACCTCCATCTCCATCGCTGGCACTCAGTGTTTCAAGTGGAATTCCAGTCCAGAGAATTCTCAGAAATTTCCTTCCATTCACCGCAGTGGTAAGACAGCAGGAGACTCAACCACCCACAGGTGCGGCCAAGACGGGAACTCCCCATTCCTATCTTTCCTTATCGCTACTGGAAACTGCTTTTTGTTTTTTTCTGCCTGCCTTTTCCTCCTCCCATCCCTTGTGCTCCTCCCCTCTTGCTCCTCCCATCGCCCTCCTTGCTCTACCCTCCTTGCTCCGCCTCCATGCTCCGCCCCCCAATACGTCACCCCTCTATGTTCCTCCCCCCTTGCTCCGCCCGCCATGCTCCTCCGCCCATACCTACCCCTCTCTCCATGCTTCTCCTCTAACATGTTTCGCACTCTGGGTCATACTTCGTTGGGTTTGGGGTTCATGGGTCTCAAGTCAGCTTCTGACTTCCCCCCTTGCCCTTCACCCCGCACCATGTCGAAACGCAGTTACAAGCCAACAACTTGGCTGCTCTATTTGATCCCGGCCTCGCCTCCTCCTTCCTCCACCCAACACCAATACCAGCGCAATCATCCCTAGCAGCAGCGCCACCAGCAGCTCCAGCACATTTTCAAGCGCCGCCAGCACCACCACTGCAGGCACAGCAGCTTCCAGCGCTGCCAATACTACACTGGGTGTTCCCATACCGAATGTTCTTATTCCCACTCTGGTGCGGCTGGCTCGTGTCGGGCTCGCATGCACAGCCATGCCTGCTTCCACTCGGCCGTCCTTGGGAAGAGTTATTGCTGAGCTGGAGATTGTGCGGGATGACGTGGCAACAACAATGAGGCAGATGGAGGAAGAGGTGGAGAGGCAGAGAGGGGAATTGCAGGGAGGGAGGGGTGCCATGGCAGGCAATAGGGGAAATGAGCATTCGGGCTCGCGGGGCAATCCTTCCCACGCCGAACCTTCCTCTACATTTCCTAATCCTTCCACTCCTCCTTCGCAGCTTCCTCCTTCTCCTCCTTCTGCTGTGGTCGCCCCCTCACCCTCCGCCCTCTTCCCGGCGCCGTTGCTGTGCCAGCAGGTGGCCATGGCGGACGTGCTGCGTGCCACGGCCAGATGGGCGAAAGAGAGGCTCATTGGCAGCGGCCGGTACGGCGACGTGTATCGCGGCGTGAGCCCCCTCGATGGCTGCACGCTCTGGGCCGTCAAGCGCGCCAAAATTCTTACCAACAATTTCCGACGCGAGGTGTGGTTGGTGGGATGTGGGGGTTGATGTTAATGGGATGGGGATGTAGGGGCGGAATGATGAGAGACGTGCCCAGCAGCAATGGCGTTAGAGGGCAACAGCTCCAGATAGAGGCCAAGATGCACGGAACCAAGTCGATGAATGAGTGTTAAAAAATGCGAGAGGCATGAGCTATGAACTCAATTCTGTGTTTTTCCCCTGTGGTTCCCTCACCTCCATGCAACCCTCCCCCCCACACCCTCCTCCACTTCTCCCCCCATCGTGCCCTATCACTCCCTCCTTGCCTCACTCCCTCCTTGCCTCACTCCCTCCTTGCCTCACTCCCTCCTTGCCTCACTCCCTCCTTGCCTCACTCGCTGGGGTGGCATCAGATCAACGAGATGGCATCGAAGCACCACCCCAACCTGGTGCGGCTGCTGGGGTTCTGCGTGGACTATGACGCGGCGGCGGAGCGAATGGAGCAGATCGCCATCTACGAGTTCATGCCCAACGGGGACCTGCACTACCGCTTGCACCGCGATGACGCAGGTGGGCACACTCGGACTCTTAGGCGTCTCACAAGGACAGACAACGGGAATAGAGCTGAGTTGCAGCGTGGGGTGTGGGACCGACAATGAGGGGGGGAGTGGGAGTGAGAAGAAAAGAAAGGAGGAGAAGAGAGGGATGTGGGAGGGAAGGGAATGCAAGCTGGAGAAGAGTCAAGGCTGGTGGTGGCCGTGCCCATTATGTGGACTTGTTTACGTGACGGGTTGGCAAGTTTGCCTGCTCCTCCTCCTCCTGCTGCTCTTCCTCCTCTCAATATGGGCCCGGCCTGATCCCTTTCATTTTTTTCTCTCTTATCTTCTTCCCTTGTGTTTTGCTCATCAGGTAATATCACCCCCCTGACCCTGCATCAGCGGCTGGACATTCTGATAGGAGTGGCGCGCGCGCTGGAGTATCTGCACAGCTTTGGCATCGTGCATCGCGACATCAAGCCCGCCAACATCCTGCTGGATGCCCACATGCAGGCGAGTGCAGGCGGGTGCAGGCAAGTGCAAGTGGGTGCAGGCGAGTGCATGAGAGTGCATAGGAGTGGATATGCTGATGGGTATTTCTTGAGAAGCCAACATCTCACGCAGGTGCCTCTTCTCCACGAAACGCCAACGCTCTTCGGACTTGGATAAGCAGTGACTCTGTAACAGTGCGGATCCCTCTGTTCTGTTTCGTCCTTGTTCATCCTGCAGGCGAAATTGGCAGACTTTGGTTTGTTGAGGTGCACAGTTGTGATGGGCGATGGCAGCTGCTCACTGCAGTCCACACAAGTGATGGGCACACCGGGCTATGTCGACCCTGTATATAGAAAGACTCACATGGCCACTACAAGTGCTGATGTGTACAGTGCGAATGCGTGTGCACGTTTTTTGTTGTTTGCCCAAGTACTCACTCAGGTGCCCTCTTTTTACTATAGTGTCTTCGTTGCACGTGGTTGCTCACCAAGAGCCACTTGTCCAACCTGCCCTGCACAATTCCTTCCTTGTCTTGTTTGAAATTTCTTTTTGCTTTCTACACACACACATACACTCTCTCTCTCTCTCTCTCTCTCTCTCTCTCTCTCTCTCTCTCTCTCTCTCTCTCTCTCTCTCTCTCTCTCTCTCTCTCTCTCTCTCTCTCTTTCTCTCTCCCCTCCTCCCTTCGTCCCTCTCCTCACTCTCCCGTCCCTCTTGCCCGCACTGCTCCCCCCAGCTTTGGAGTGGTCATGATGCAGCTGCTGACTAGCAAACATGCTGTGTTCCTATGTGAAGATAGAAAAGAAACCAACATCAAGGACTGGGTAAGCTGATGCTGCTTCTTCTTCAAACCAACAATCCCTCTTCCCTAATTTTCCGTGTGTTGGAGTCCCTTCCTTACCCCCTCTCACTCTCTCCGTCTCTTTTCCTCCTCACTTCCCTCCTTTTATGCTGCCCCTGCCTCTTCCCTGTCCTCTCACCCCCTCGTTCCCACACCTTCTCTCACCCTCCACCCTTCTCTTCCTCCCAATCCTGACAGGTTGAGCTGCAGGTGGGGAGAAGGAACAGAGCATCTGTTGTCAGCAAGGATCTCAATGCACCGCATGCCGTGGCCTCCAAGCTAGTTGAGATTTCTCTCTCATGTGTTGCAGAGCTCGTATTAAATCGACCCAGTATGAGCCATGTGCTAGTTGAGCTTGAAACTCTGCGGAGGGAGCTGATGGATGGAAGACAGGAGAGAGTAGCCAGGCTGTTAGATGCAAAAGTTCAACAAGCTTCACTGGATTGTAGTAGGGGACTGGAGGAGGAGCTCGAGATTGTCACTAGGAGTGTTCATGATGATGACTAGATGAGAATGAATGGATGAGTGTACTCAAGGCCCTGATATAACAGCCTTACTTGAAATCGGCCTTGTTTATAACAGAACAGCTGTTCTGCCGCTCTTTTTTTTGGGTTGCGAAGCAACCTATTACGATCGTTATGTACAATTTTTTTTTCAACCTCGAAAAAAATAAAAATAAATGTAGTGAACGGTAGTTATGGTAAGTGATTGACTGCTACGGTATGTATTTGCCTCGGCAATTCGCCACATTCGTTCTCATTTCCTAGTTTGCCTCGACTGAACCTACCCGTATATTGTATGGATCAAACATGAACATGTGTTGCCGAAATGATGTTACTGTGAACGCATGACTGTCTATTCCGTACCATGTTATGCATAGATGAAGTATAATGATGGATATGGTGAACCAAATATTGAATGAACAATGCATAAATATAATGCATATGCTACTGTGGTAAATATACCATAGTATATTTTCCAGCTTTAAGTCGTAGTTAAATGAATGCTTAGCATGATGGAAATGCGTAACAGTTAATTGACACAGGCTCTATGCTACCGCATCCCCTGCCTAGCATGGGGGGGGAGCTCAATAGCATAGTTTCTGAATCATCCAACCGTTACATGAAACAACACAATCTGTGTAAATTAAAAAAATGATCAAGATCCATCAAATCCAGTTCAAGTGGACACACTCACTGAGTGCGCAAAGAACCTTCTCGGAAATGATGGTTTGACCATCTTTTTAAAACCCACAGATGTGCATTGTTAATGTGATGACAGATGCATACGGATGAGTGTGCACACACAAAGACACGCACTGACACACATACCGATATGCACACAACTCAGACAGAATCCGTTCACACACAAAAGGGCAATGCAAAAAAAACAGTAAAAACAATAAAACAAATGCAAACAAGATTTATCAATACAATACAGCTCTACAAGTCACGACTATTATCGTTACACTTCATAAGAAATCCTGGCAGCGCGCAGGAAATAGCAAAGCCTCTGAACATTAAAAAAGGGGGGGGGGGGGGGGGGGGGGGGGGGGGGGGGGGGGGGGGGGGGGGGGGGAAGGAGGGGAGGGAAGGGTGGTGGGGGGAAAGGGAGGGAGGGAGGGGAAGTTTAGTTTATTCTCGTCCAATAAACAGCAAATAAGAGGAAGGCTTAGGACAAGCGAGCTAAATATAGAAAACGACTTGTAAAAAGGCGATTAACCTATTGCGATGGGTTATAAAAAAAATCCTATTAACGGTTATAAAAATCAAGAGAAAAAAATGAAACACGACTCAAATAACACGATCTGAATAAAGGGAAAACGATCTAAGTAACACCAGGAAATCAGGAGGCAGAAAGCAGACTTACAAAAAAACAATGACCGTTAAAAAGAATGGAAAGGAAACGAGAAAAAAACGTGAGAGAACGAGAACGAGAGAACGAGAACGAGAGAACGAGACAGAATGGAAAAGAGAGAACAAGAAAGAGAGAACGAGACAGAACGGAAAAGAGAGAACGAGAGAGAGAGAGAGAGAGAGAGAGAGAGAGAGAGAGAGAGAGAGAGAGAGAGAGAGAGAGAGAGAGAGAGAGAGAGAGAGAGAGAGAGAGAACGAGAGAGAGAGAACGAGAGAGAGAGAGAGAGAGAGAGAGAGATAGAGAGAGAGAGAGAGAGAGAGAGATAGAGAGAGAGAGAGAGAGAGAGAGAGAGAGAGAGAGAGAGATTCAAAAGATTGGGAATTAGGTTCTCAGCACGAGCAATAAAACTAGAAGGAACGCGTTCAGGCTAACAAAGAAAAGATAACCATGGAAGAAAACAAATATGTAACAAGAGAAACGAATGGTGGAAACAAACGAGGTGCAAGAGAAGTTCATGGCTAACAAAAAAACTAACGTTAAGATCAAGATGGAAAGAGGAACGGGTAAGAAAAACAGATGAAAGGCGAAAGGAAAGGAAATGAAATAAATAAACGCACCTAGCTACGAACTCACCGAGATATGCCTAAACCGTGCATAGTTGAATGCGAACAAATGTTGAACGGCATTTAAAACTGAAAGACACAAATCTAGTGAAAGACCTAAAGCTAAAGTATCTACAACAATTCTAGAACCTAAGCCTTAAACAACATGCGGCCAATACTATGCTAAACGACTACGATATGAGACCAAGAAATGGTAGTCTAGCGTGTAATGATCTAATTTGGCTCAAAATGATAAGTTAGGGTGGTTCTTACCTTGCACTAGTAGGTGGAGCGTGTTTGGCGGGGAGCTTAACTAGGGAGAAGGAGCAGCGGGAGAAAAAAAGGACGAACAAACCCTAAGGGAGTCTTGGATTCATCGCAAGAAACAATGACTAATATTTTTCGTGGCACGAAACGCGAGTCGGTGCTGTTGCAGTCGACTTAGGAGTGAAGCTGGAATCGTAAGGTCTACAGTTCGATTCTAGCTGATGTGAAATTTTGAATCCTTGCCGAATTTTGTCCCTCTTAGTGTCATACTACAGCAAATGTACAGAATTAGAAGCTGTACAAATTTATGTGATTACGCAAAAAGCTTCGCAACCCTAAGACGATCTGGTCGACTCTTGTTTAATATATTTTTCTCGAATGTTGTAGTCTTAGTGATGTGTGTCATAGGGGGTACAACATTGTGAATGCAACACTTTCGATTATGACATGGTATCACTTAGGTTAGGATCAATGCTCTAGATATCAGACTTTTTAGTCTGATTCAAAGTATGTTCAGACTTTTTGGGTTGCGAAGCAACCCTTTACGATCGATTTTGACAATTTTTTTTTTCATGAATTTTTTTAATAAACCATGAAAATAAACCATAACTTCACCAAATTCCACATATGCAAAATCCAGCGCACACACAGGCAGAATCCAGCGCGCACACAGGCACAATCCAGCGCTCAAACATGTCAAATCTGGCATGGCAAAATCAGGCAAGACCCAGCGCACACACAGGCAAAATCACTCGGAAAAAAAAGGGGGGGGGGGAAAATAGTACAAGAGCGGTTGCAATAGGGAGGGAGGAAGGGGTGAGGACGGTTGGGCAGGTCGACAGCGAAGGCGAAGAGCAGGGAGTGAGGACAGGGGGGGCGACGGGACAGGAGGGGAGAGAGGAGGAACAACGGGATGTGGGGAGCGAAGGCGACGGGAGGACAGGGGAGAAAGGAAGGGTGATGGAAGGGGAGAGGAGAACACCAGGAAGACGGGAAGGTAGGGGCGGAAGAAAGTGAAGTGACGGGAAGGGAAGAGAGATTGTGAGGGCGACGAGAAGGGATGGGACATGGCGTCGGCGAGGGCGAGGGAGGGCGACGGGATGGGAGAGGAGATGGTTGATGTGAAAGGAGATATAAAGTGCGTCGGGAGGGCGATTTGAGGTGCGCGCAGAGGCGACGAGGCGGGTGACGCGAAGGGAGAACGGGCGACGAGAGGGCAATTGAAGACGAGCGCGAAGAAAGAGAGGAAGGTATGGGATGAGTGGCAGGGAAGGCGACAAGAAGGGACGGGATGGGCGAGCACGAGTATGGTCGGGAGGATGTAGTGGTTGGGTGTCATCCCAGCAGCACATTGCTCTCTGCTCGGAAATAACCGTGGAGGTAGCGAGGGCGACGGGGAAAGGGGGGGAGATAGCGAGCGCGACGAGAGAGGGGGGGAGACAGCGAGCGCGACAGGGAGAGGGGGGAGATAGCGAGCGCGACAGGGAGAGGGGGGAGATAGCGAGCGCGACAGGGAGAGGGGGGAGATAGCGAGCGCGACAGGGAGAGGGGGGAGATAGCGAGCGCGACAGGGAGAGGGGGGAGATAGCGAGCGCGACGGGTGTCAAACATTATACATGTTGTATTTGTGTAGGCTGTAGTGGGTTAGCCTATAGGGGGGTCACAACATTAGGGTTTCATATTTGTACTCACAATCCTTGCTAGTCCATCATTCCAGTCCGTTATTTCTGACATGGTTTCAGAGCAGGTCCTTCGCTAGGACCGTTCTTAGGGCCCACCGTTACCTACATACCTACCTACCTACCGTGCGCCTCGTGCGCCTACGCGCCCTCGTGCGCCTCCTACCTACCGCGCGCGCGCAGCCCGGCAGTCGCCCGCGCGCGACTCGACTTTTTTTTTTAGCGCGCGTATCCCGCTAGCCGCCCGCGCGCGGTCGATTTCGCTGCGCGCGCCCCGCTAGCCGCACGCGCGCGGCTGTTTTCTTTACGCGCGGCCCCGCACGCTGCCCGCGCGCTGCCTGTGCGCCTCGCTGACGCGCCCGCTGCTGCAGCCGCCCGTCGCCCGCTCGCGCACACCCCGCCGTGGCCCCGCAGGCCCGCAGCTCGCCGCCGCAGCTGCCGCACGCCCGTTGCCCGCAGCCGCCCGTCCGCCGACGCCGCTGCCGCCCGTGCACCGACGCCGCTGCCACCCGTGCGCTGCTGCCGCTGCTGCTTGCGCACCGCTCGCTGCTGCAGCCGCCCGTGCGCTGTCGGCGCTGCTGCCCGTGCGTATAAGCCGCTGCCGCCCGTGCGCCTCTGCAGCCGCCGCCCGCGAGTCGCCCGCTACCGCTAGTGCGCCGCAGCTCCTGCCCTTCGGTCGCGCACCGCTGCAGCTCCTGCTGTCGCGCTCCCTACTACTGCCGCTCGTGCACCACGCCGGCCCCGTTGACCCTGCGCACACCTTTCCAGCGGCCTTGTTCCTACTGCTACTACTGCTACCGCTACTGTTTCTCCTACTACTGCTACTGTCACTATGGCTAGTCCTCCCGTTCTAGCTTTCGATGCCGAGGGCCGCCCAGTGAAGTTCGAAACCTGGCTAGATGACCTGCACCTGTTCCTACAGCTCACTGCCAAGGAAGATATCTCACTGTACGACCATGCCCTAGGCCATGCCACTGCCCCTGACTCGTCTGCTGACAGCACTCTGCGTTCCCAGTGGCAGACCCGTGATGCGCACGCTCGCTTTGCTATTCGCAACTCCCTGCCGCTAGACGAGCGCGAGCACTTCGGCCAGTGCAAGACT